TCAGAGTAAATAAAAACTATATTTTGTTCGTTTAATCGTAGACTTTTCAAGCACTTACAAAACCTTGTGTTACTTTATTTTTATGTACACCAGACCCTAAGATCTGAATAAGCAAAAGTGATAGCCCTTTTACTTGTTGGAAAAAAGCAATGAAGTGCAGCATTTATTTTTTGCTACTAATCTTGAATCTACACTGCTCCAAACTCTATACTATCAATCTTCTAATTTCTACTGATATGTTTAAAAGGAAAAAAATTCTCAATCCCCTACTTTCCACTGTGTAAAACCAGATGCAGGGGTTGAAGTCTGGGGTTTGGATGTGTGACATCCCTTTTTGTGCCTGTATTGACCTGCTATCAGTTCTCCCTTGACTAGGGCACATTACAATCTCTGTTGTCCACTCACAGTTTTACCCTGGCAAGCAGTCCCTTAAGAGTAAGACTCTCCCTGAGTCTAGACATCTCTTTTTTGGATCCCACCTTCCTTTGTTCTCATCTAATGCTTGCTTTCCTCTATTGTTTTTTCCTGCACTTACGCTCATGGTTCACCAAAACATGGATACATATGCAAGTACAAATGTTTTAAAGGTTTAAAGTAAGGTAGAGAGAAAAGAGTCCATGGTTAAGACATCTGTTCCTGACCCAGCACATGTGGATTCACTTCGCAGCTCTACAGGTCATGAAATCTGTTCATTTCCATTCTGCATGTGGAAAATGGTGACGATGCTTTCTTACTCTACCAATTTTTTCATTGATAAACCCTAATTTGTGAAATGTGATAAAATAATACTGTGTTCTGAAAATAGGTTTGGGTAAGATGTCCGAGTTGCTTAACATTCCCTTGATAACAAAAAGGGAGCATTCTTGGTATGTCCTTACTTCTACTTGTATAGTCTTACTCCATTTCTTGTCCTGTCTCTGACATTCGTCTTGACCCCTGGCAATCAGATCAACTCACCTGACAAAAATTGAGTAGATTTGTTGAGTAGTAGAATTACTTTAATAAAGGAACCAGGCACCTCCAGAGCTATTGCATGAGAAAGTAGATAGTTGCTCAGGTGGGAGGAGGATGTTAAATTATATCACTTTTAATATGTAGCATGTTGTTAACCTATGTCAGTCTTAATGTGTATCTAGTGATAATAGGTAAATTAATGGAGGCAAGGTTTTTGTGAGTTGATTCTCCAGTATACTTACACTCTCCTATTGGCTTTCCCAACATTTTCCATTTTTTTATGACATGCTGACTTATTCTTGGATCTGCCTTTAGTCTTCCTAAGGTGTACTAGTCTGTGAGCATTTTGCAGCTTCTCTTGCTCGGGGGGTAATCATTTCTGGAACTAGATTTGCCTTCTTAGTTGTAAAAAGCAATATGCACAGCTTCACCCAATATAAATTTTACCTGTTTGCTGCTGACTTTCATTTTGCTGCAGGTGGTATTGATTGTGTGGTGCTCAGCTGTCTGCCAGGGTTAACCCACAACACCGTAAAATCCTTTGATCCACGTTAAGTCTTAAACCCATCCTCCTCTGTATCAGGGCAGAACAGCTTAGATCCCAAGAAGAAACGAGACAGTGATAACCATGGAGCTGTTTTGAGAAGGAGCCTTTATCACGGGCTTAGTAGTGTTGCATTCAGTTGATAAGGAGTCTCACTGGGGGTGAAGCAGAAAGAAAGCTCCTCTCCTAAAGGATCTCCACTGAGCTTGGGTGCAAAGCTAGTCCCTAAACCTAATGGCTATGGGACCCAGTGTGGCAGATCATCCATCTTGCAAAATCAAGAAGTTAAGGGGGAGCAATCCATTCATTTTGGTTTTATTCCTCCTTGGTCATGCACATTATGACTTCTTTGCTTTTCCAGACTACCCTGAATTTTCAGGTTGTGAAGTCTGCTCTTGCCCCACAGAGGCTCATCAGCCCCTAGAGAGGTGTCTCCCAAAGTGCAAGAAAAGGAGAAGCAGGAACAATGACCTTCCTCTACTTCACTGCACCCTGAAAGAATTTAGGTTTGAAGGGACCTTTGGATATCACCTGTGAGAAGCAGGGTTAATATTAGAAGAGATTGTTCAGGACTGTGTGCAGGTGAGTTTTAAGTATCTCCAAGAATGGCAGTTGTATGGCTGTTCTAAGAAAGACCTGCAGATAGTTTGAGTTACCACATGCATTGGAGAGAAGTGTAGCAGGATTTTCTTGAATTTATTGAGGTTTAATGGAGGCTTCATCATCCAGGAAAATTTTGCCACCTCCAAACTCATTAGTTAGCTTGTGAGTTTTTGAGACCTACCGTCAACAAACTTATTTTTTGTTCTCATTATTTTTCTGTTCATTGGATGAGAAATGTATTGGTTGTTTGCGTTTTGTGTATTTTCTTTCTACAAGTTCTGCTTTCTCAAGGATGCAGGCAATCATTTTAACATCAGCATTGTAGGGATATACATCTCCTTGCATAATAGCTCACATAACATCCAGTGTACAAGAAGACAACTGGCATAGTTTCAGTTTGCAACATTTATTGGGGGAAATAATCAAGACATATTTTCATCCTCTTTCAATGCCTTCTTACAAATGTAAACAATTACAAAAAAAAACCCACGTAGCAATAGATTTGTTTTGTTTGGAATATTATTATTTGTTGCTCCAGGCTTCAACAGAAATTGAGAAGTATTAGTTCCTTTGCATAAAGCTATTTTATTATTTATGTTTCATTATATATATAGCACACTGGACACTGGGTTTTTTTTGTAAATCTCTCAACAGCAAACAATATTACATAGATCAATAAAAGACTGAAATTAATTGGGGCAAACTGCATTTTAAAAAGTATTTTAAAACTGTACAATTAGCAATCACTTTTTAACTAATTGAATAAAAATTCAATTTATGAGCAACTCTCTTCTAATAACAGAAGTGATAAGAATAAATCCTTTCTAATCTGAAAATTATCAACTTCTGAAACACCCTTATACATACAGCTCAAGAATTTTGTGCATAATGTGCTTAGATTGATAAATTACAAATTTTTTTTGTGGTGAAATATTTTTTTTCCAGCAGTTCTGAGTCTATAAGTAGAGAATCTCTCATCCAACTGATCGGCAAAGCTGAATTCACTCGTTGTTTTCATTTAGGAGAGGCTTTCATCAACTTAGTCTCAATTCCTTAAATGTTCTTTGGACCCAGGTGCTAGAGAAGTACTTCAAAAATTCACTTGCACTTGCTATCCTTCATTTTTATTCCATTTGGCTGATCTTGGAAAAATTGTAAAAAATGTATTCTATTCTGAAAATTGGGAAATAATACCTTGAGGCCGTCAACCCTTCTGGGTTTGGGTTTTGGGGGATTTTGCTGGGTTTGGGGGAGGGGGTTGTTTTGTCTTTTTTGTTTGGTTGGGTTTGGGTTTTGGTTTGGTTTTGGGGGTTTGGGTTTTCCTTGTGGATTTCCTGCAGTCAGAAAAGAAAACATCCTGCCAGTGCAGTACGGTTGTATCCTTGCTTCTTTGACAACACCCTCAGCATGTGGCTACCCTCATGAATGTCAACTCAAGTATTTACAAATGAGCCCTTCTTATTTTGAGAACATTCTGCCTTCAGTTCAGTGATACCTGTTCATATAGCGTGACATACTAAGAAACTGAAAATATTTAATGAAGTATTAGTAAAAAATTTGTCAAAAGTGCCTTTGCTTCAGAGTCAATGTCAGAGATGAGTAGTAGAATAATAAAGAAAAAAAAATTTAAATACCAACAAAAATGCTTCTGGAGATACAATTAAAGTTTGGGCCACAAACACTATGAAAAATCAATTGTTTTCTTCTGTATGCTTGTGGGTTTTGCAGACTAGGAGAAAGTGATCAGGAAGGGGTTTCATGGCATGGGCATGACAAGACAGAGCTAATTTTTGCAACCCAGAATAGATGTTTCTGATAAACTCCTACTAAATTACAGCACCATGCAAATTAAAAGTAAGAAATGTAGCATATTAAAAGAAGTGTTACAGTGCCTTCATGATTTTTTTGGGGGGGAATTTTATACTTTTGCTCTGCTTAGGTGTATCAAATCTGCTTAGGTAATCAGATGTTCCCAGAGAAAATAAACAAGTATATGTGAGATCCATCTATGGCAGATATATATTTTTTATGCTCAGAAATATGATACTCTTTGTGTTTCATTTTAAAAAGATGTGAAAAAAAAAGGCATTGAAATTAAATACTTAACAGGAAGAAGAAGAATAAGGAGGGGGAAAAAAAGAAATTAAATTTAGCCAGAAAATCATCTCTTTCTGAAAATAATACTTGAAATATTAATAAAAAATCGAGAAAACCATTACAAAACTTGGGAAAAATGAAAAGAAAAGCATGGTTTTTTTTTTTTTAAATCTTAGAAACCAATTCCAACTTTCAGTATCTATTTACATCCTTTATGTTCATCTTTTTGATGAGTATTCACCAATCTTTCCGATAGAGTAACTTAAGTCCCATAACTGATTCTCCCTAAACTAGTCAAACAGATGTTCTTTGGATAAAACTATTAAAAGTTAACCACCTTATATTCATATCACAGTAGCAGGACAAGAGAAATGCACATTTCTGTAATACAGCCTATTCTGCCATGTTTTTCATCCCTTACAGGATGAATTAGTAGTCGTGTTTGTCCAATACAACATTTGCCTAGCCAGTGGAAACTGTCAGTTCTGTAGAATTCTCTCTGTTTATGGACAGACATATGAGTGCCTGTCTGTCCTGCTGAGCATAAGGACTGTAAAACATATCAGTTGTGATGTTACAACAAAAGATTTACTTCTGAAATAGACAGTAGAGAAGAAAGTTTCTCTGTTGAAGTAAATGTTTAAAAAATAACATTTTGCAGAATGCAAGAGGCACCTCTAACAATGTGTTGTAGGAAAGTTTTGTATATTTAAATAATTCATCCTGTATTTTTGAAAAAACGGCACCCAAATATGGCATGTCATTGCTATACTAAGAATTACCTCCTTTGTTTTCTCTTTAGGAAGAGCCCTTTGTCATGGTGTCTGAAAATGTTCTGGGAAAACCAAAGAAGTATCAGGGCTTCTCAATAGACGTGTTGGAAGCCTTGGCTACCTACCTTGGCTTTAAATATGAAATCTATGTTGCACCGGATCACAAATATGGGAGTCCTCAGGATGATGGGTCGTGGAATGGACTGATAGGAGAACTGGTATTTAAGGTAAGATTATTAATAACCTACCAAATAAGGTTATGTGATATGGATAGGTAATATGGTGTATATTATGTTTGTATGAGACAGTAACCTTTTTTAATGACTCAGTGGTAACGTTTTGTTCATTGCCTGTGTCACCAACATTTTATAGTATGTTCAGGTGCATTGGGCAGTAAAGAAAAACCTAGACATAGTGCTTGCTGGCAGCTATTTAAGCAACAAGGCAATCCCTTTTTTCCAATCAAAGTACAGCATTATGAAATCTGAATACAGTCAAATAATGGTATGCACAGCATCCTAATTAATTTGGCAAGACCTTACACAAATGAGTTGAAGAGCCTGTTCGAAAGGGGAAAAATTGGTGGTGCAGTAATTAGTGATACATTACATAAATAATGTATAGCACTTAGAAAAATGTTGGTGTGATGAATACATGAAGTATATAATCAACAGAAAATGTTTTATTGATATATAACACATTATGTAGATGAGTGAATCAAGAGCAGTGTGTTCTCTGTTCCGTAATTAATAAACCATTTAGTCTACTTAATTTTACATTAAATGTTCAACATTATATCATAAATAAATTAAACCAAAAAATGTGCCATATTTTTCTTTTTTTTTTTCCTAATCTTCACATCTCGTCTTTGCAGTTTATCCCATTGAGAGAAAAAGACAGGGCTATGCAGCCTCGATTCTGCTGATGTCTTATTTCTGACCTGAACATAGATATTTTGGTTGCTAGTAGTTAACCTGTAGAGGCAGCTTCCACAGCTATGGATACCTGTATTGGTTGTTTTTCCTTAAATAATTGCAATTGATAATCATTTTAATAACTTACTGGTTGTTTATGGAAGTGCTTTTCCAAATCTGCAGGTGGAATTTAATTGATAATCACAGCAGAGAATAAAGAGCAGTGAAGTTAGATACAGGACCTAAGCATTAAATACTTCAACCAAAAGTTTAGCAAAATGCTGGAAAATAAGTCTTGCAGTAAAGATTAAAAAAAGAAAGAAGGGGTGGGGGTGAGGGTGTTGAGGGAGAGAAAAACCACAATCCTGCTTTCCTGAGCAGTAGGAACCCTGTTGGAATGAAGACCAACCACACATGCTGTACCTGCGACATGGTTCATACATCTAGACTGTAGTAATAAACTTCCATTGCCATCTTCTTATGCCCTTAAGAAGCTGGAAGGTGGAATGCTGTGGTCATAAGCGGTAGGTTGAAGATACTTAGAAAAGTGCATTTTCCTCCACCATTTAAACTTTACTTACACAACACCGCAATATTCTAATGATTTATCATTTTTTCTGCCCTGCTATACCCTACTCTACGCTATTCAGTAAAAGACTCAGCAGGCCACTGCATAACACAAACTGGAGAGTTTTAGTCCTAGATGGCTCTGGAGATGGAAATGTGCCTGGAATATTTTTTATTAATTTGAAATCAATGATTTCTAGGCAGAACTCATAACAACTGATATGAAATGGTTCACTGAAAAATATGGCATTTTTGTTCCCTTAGTATGCAGGGACTGATATACCTCTAATAATACCCTTACAGTGATAAACACATAGATCTGTAAACAGATAGCATGGGTAGAACAGATTTACCAGTTTGTTACAATTTTGTTGTAAATGAGTCTTAATGGATACAAAATCTTTCTGTATGGTTAGAAAGTATGAAGAGTTAATGCAACTGCATTTGGAATTAAAAAAAACCCACGTTTTTCCAATATTATGGCAGTGTATTATTTTTTATGTTGCTTACCGTTAAGGTTTATGTTTAAGGTTTTTATGTTGTTTACCGTAAAGGTTCAGTGTGTCATTCTCTCCCGTTCTTTGTTTCTCTTAAGGCAAAAGAGAACCTCTGGGCAAGCAGCCAGCATATATCTACCCCTTACTAAGTGCAAGCTGTTCTTGAAAGGCTGCTTTCTTATTTATGGTGAACTGAGTTTTGGTCCCAGAACTCAAATATCTATGTCCTTGGACATTTTGTAAGGGGAAGCAAAGGAACAGAGAAAAGTTTTAAATTAAAGACCTAACCTGTTTAAAACAGGGTGTTTCCTTGTTTTTCCAACCAAGTCTTACATGATAGTCTGGCCAACACGTGGAGGAAATCCAGAAACAGAGGGAGTGCTCTTTGCCTGTTAGTGTGTGAGCGAGAAATTAGTTGGGAACAATGTATTTTTGCAAAAGACAAGTCCTACTCAAGGGTAATAGAAAATATCTGTCTTCTCTTTTTGCGTGCATCTCGTTGAGAAGGATGCCTGTGGCCACTGCAGAAGATGTGCCATATGAAATGTCAGTTGCTGTGGCAAGCACATAATTTCTGTGTTGATCAACGTATGCTGTTTTCATTAACCTGATTCAGCACACAGCAGGCTCAGGTGAAGGCCCTAGTATCACATGAGAGCAGTCCTGGGCTGCTCCCATTTGCAGCAGCTCTGCCCAGGCTGCAGTGCAGGGCAGAAGCCCTGTGGTGCCAAGTACATGCCGCAGGTCCACAGCTGGCCTTGCAGACATGAGATTGTGCCAAGTTCATGCTTTTCCAGTTTTGAAGACAAGGTTCCTGTTGACTGCTAAAATAGGAGCTGAAATCATCAGATCAAAGAAATTGGTCTTCAGTTTGAATTTGGAAACATTCAAACCTCCCCTCCTTTGACTGTCAAGACCTATAGTAGGTACACCCTTGCTCCATACACCTTCTGTCAAAATAAACTGAACGTAACTGTGTTTTGGAAAGCATTCTGTTTGCTGAGTGCCTGAACCAGAAGGTCTAGGGGGATAAATGCTCTTTCAGAGAGAGGCACATGGTGCTCTTGCCCCTCTGTGCAACCCACCGGGCTTCAGCTCACAAACATGGTCAGTTTAGAGAGCAACAGCTTTCTCTGGAGAGGCTAAAACCATCTCAATGGAACAACACTTTACCACAAATCTTTCTCTTGCTGTTAGTTATCTGTGTCTTCTCACAGTGCTTCCTTTAGCCCTCAAGTCCGCAATACAAGAGGGATGAGCTGGGAGAGGAAAGTAGGCTTTCCAGCATGGCTCTGGACTTCCTGATGATACTCACATCCATCAACCATTATTTCCCAAATTTCACCATGCTACATTCATTGGTAGGATTTTTTTTTTTTTTTCCAATGAGGAGCCATCAGGAAGCAAAGTACATAGGGGAAAACTGCCTGATTCCACTTAGGTCCATCAGAAAAGGAAAAACTAAATACATGCCTCAATATTTCTAAGGCAGTCTGCAAACTCAGAAGAAGCCTCTTGTATAAGGCTCTTTTTTTAATGCATCTTCCTATGGGAAATAGCATAGGAAGGAAGAAAGCATACAGGGAGCACAATGTAAGAAGAAGAAGAAAATAATACCTGAGTAAATGGAGAATTATTTGGATGTATGTGTGGTAACTTGAGCAAAAATGTCTCTGTGAATAATTTTTGCATGTCCATATTGATGTATCATGTGGGAATGTGGTTTATTGCTTCCAGCATTCGTTGAAACTTGATTTAACACTGAAAATGGATAAAATTGAAGGCTTCACGGCAGCAATTAATTTGTTTTCCTTGTTCTCAGTCACGAACCACAGGAATCATTATAAGATTGCTTTCTGTGTGTATGAGATGTGCTTGCTTAAGCAATAGCATATGGTCATTTCAGGGATTTCTAGACTTTGCTGTTGAGCAAGCAGGCCCTGTGACACCAGTAACAATACTATCAGACCCATTTGGTCATTTATTTTGGATTTTCTCATTCTAGTAATGTTGCTCTATGATGACTGCAGGAGAACTGTGGTTAACAAATATAAATTCCGAAGCAGGTCACATAAAGAAAAATAATGCCCTCTGCTGTTTTTGTCGGTCAGTCAGTCAGTTTCAGGAGTGACCATTTAATTCATCAGAAATGTGTTTAACAGATATCTAAGATGCTGACAATAGGTTGATTTTGGCACTGTGAAAACTCTGAGTGGAGAGTTTTACATGTTTATAATTTAGATTGGCAACTTTACATCTAAATATTGACATAATTGCATGCTTTTGCCTTTCTATCTCAGAAGCGCTAAGTGAACCTTGAGTTCTTCAAACTGATGTCTTCTCTGATCCAATTTGACATGTTAATGACAAGCATTTAATTTTTTGCAACTTCCAATTTTGGTGCAAGTTGATAGAATCTATGTGTAAATAAGGATTCTCACCATCTCTAGATCAACTATTAGGTTAAGCTTAAGCTTGGTTTTGTGATAAACATGGAGTTTTCTGGTAAGTTGGTGTATATGATTTAATTTAGTAAGGTAAGAATATGAGCTGTCCTTTTTCAGTATAACCTTTAGGGTTTGGGGTTTTTTTTAAATCTAGACACGGGAATACCAAGAGGTTAGAACTTAATCTCTCCTTTTTATTTTTTGCTTTAGTACCACTATTTAATCACAAGATATAATTATATCCCAATTGCAATTATATCCCAATTGCTGCTCCTGTATGACAAAGGAAATGCAACACTTGCGCTAGGATAGCATTGCTTCTCTATCACAGCTGGCTGGCAACCAGAGTGGAGCCATAATGCTGGGGAATATGGAGAGACTGCTCCCCTGAGATGCAAAATAGAAGTAGTATTTCTGCACATACCACATTCTGTGCTTTTTCATGCAATGCATTTCAATGTATTTAAAGGAGAAATATGTTTCTCTTTAAATAAAGGGGGGAAAAAAGGCAGAAAATAATCATTAGTCATTCAGTCCTACAGTAATCTATTATTTGGTAAAAGAATTTTTACTTATGTATATTGCTTTTCGGTGGAGAGTCTTTAAATATCTTACAAATACAACTTGAATTAGGAACTCACAGTAGTGGAAAACTATTGGTGCAGAGCATTGGAATTTTATATTTGTAAATTATTTTAAAAATACATGTGTATTCACAGTTGTGGAAAACAGTTCAAACAATGACTGCTTTGCCACTTGCTCACTGGAGCTAGTACAGTTAGTAGATACTGTGAATTATTTGAGTCATTTGTTGACCAGAAGTTTTATAATCTGAGAATAGAGACTCAGATGATCTGAAGGTTTCCATGGGCAATTCTGATTAAATTTTACTTGGATTGCTGACTAACTTTGCTGCTGCCTATGGGCAAAGGGCAGTTAAATCATCACTCTCAAAAAATGGTTAGGAAGGAGCATGAAGTGAATTCATGAAACCATACTTTCAGCTGTGCACATCAACACAGCTTCACTTAAGACATTAGAGCATGTAACCTACAAATTAAAGCTGAAGCTCTAATTCATGGCTTTTAAGCAAATCAATATTTTCAAACACATTTTTGTCCAAATCATCAGCCTCCAGCTATCTTCCACCACTTTCTCAAGCCAGTGAATAATTAATATAAAATTAAAGTAACATCATTTAAACTGAAGTCTTAAGTGCACGGTGAGTAGAAGTATGTTTCTACCATGGGCTGCTGTGTTTCACAGATGGTATAAAGAGCCCAGATGATGTGCAAATTTGATTCTAATCAGTTTCAGCTGCCATACCTTCCCACTTAATATTTCACAACACATTTCTAAAGAGCTAGTAATCTCTGCTTTCTTTGGGCAAGAATAAAGAAATTCAAGAGAGTTAATAAAATTTGACACAGTACCAAGACTTTCAAGCCTCTGTGCTCTCCTCAGCCCCTTCCAAAGGACCACACACTGCTTTAGGCAGAACAGAAATGGATTAAATCGAACTAGTAGCAGCTGAAATTATTTAGAGTACTCTTTTTCATATTAAAATATCTAGAATTTATAGTCTTTTTGTTCAGTATTTGGGCTTTTTAAACGGTATTAATGTGTCTGCTTTAAATACCCTTTCTTGTTTCCACTGCAGTTCTAATTGGATGTGTGAAAAGTAAAACAGCACCTGCTGTAGTTTTTGCCTGGTGTCTCTGGAGACCTAATACCCAGACATGCTGTGAAATACAATGATTAGATCAAGGAATGTTATTCATCCTCTTCTCATCTGAAATGGGTTCTTTAAATTACAAAAAATGTAAATGACACAAAGTAAGTCCAAGGTAGCTGCAGGACAGGTTGGAAGAGAGAGGAATTGCTTAGCAGTAGGATATAGAGGAATAAGTATCATAGAATGGTTTGGGTTGGAAGGGACCTTAAAGATCATCTAGTTCTAACTCCCCTGCCATGGGCAGGGACACTGTAGTAAAGGAACTGCACGGAATATCTACTCTTCTTCACTTCAGACTCTGCAGCCAAAATTTACGTTTTCCAGAATTTCAAGTGCCCCCCAAACACCATATGAGATGCCCTTTATTGTGTAGTGGCCTTTTGTCATGTTCATTATGCCATCAAAATGTTGGCTATCATGCTGCTCTGTCAGGCAGCTGATTTCCTCTGACTGGAAATGCTAGACACAAGGTCTGCCTTTTGCCACAATGATGTCTTCAGTAAGCCAGGCTGGGAAAAATAACCGGTTTCCTCCAGCTATTATCTGTATTTAGGTATTTTGATTCCTTGGAAAATAACAACATGAAGAGCTTATGCACTTGAGTCCACCAAGTGCAGCCTGTTTACAGAAACTAAGGCACATGGTACAGCTGTCCTGTTCAAGCCTTAGTGACATTTCTGTGTTCACATATGTGTTGCCTAAGACATCGGTCTTGGCATCTGCTTCTACATACATTTAGCTGCTATAAATCACAGAAGAACAAAGACCTTTTCAGTGGCTCCTGCTTACATATGTGGTTTTCTCTCCCTGTTTCCACAGAGAGCTGATATAGGGATCTCTGCCCTAACCATCACCCCTGACCGTGAAAATGTGGTGGACTTCACAACGCGTTACATGGACTACTCAGTGGGTGTGCTGCTTCGAAAGGCAGAGAAGACAGTGGACATGTTTGCCTGCTTGGCACCGTTTGACCTGTCCCTGTGGGCATGCATAGCTGGTACCGTGCTGTTAGTAGGGCTACTGGTCTACCTCTTGAACTGGCTCAACCCCCCACGCCTTCAGATGGGATCTATGACCTCCACAACCCTCTACAACTCCATGTGGTTTGTGTACGGATCCTTTGTGCAACAAGGTAAGAGGCAGAGGGAGACTCTGCTCCAAGAGAAGACTTGTATATCCTCCCATTCCTAGAGACCTTCCTCTTCCCTGCATCCCTTCCACAGCCCACGAGGGACTGGGGCCACAGGAAAGCCTTGTGCTATAATGTTTCTAAGACATTTGGCTGCCCAGTTTGGTAACCATGAGAAGTTCAGAGCACTACATGCTAGCTTGTTTTGATTTGTAGTTGTCTAACTGAAGAAAGATTATTTTTCTTGGCTGGAAGGGTGTGGGGCGGAAGTATTTCTCATCATCTGCTGGAGAATTGTTCACAGTTAATGTGAGTACCATGTTTTTACACAGTCAGACAAAAAAATGTTAGGGTTTGCCTTTTGAACTAAGTTTAGGCTAGTCACCAGTGCTAAATGGTCTTATTGTACCTGACATTCTTTCCTCCTCCTTCTGATTTACCTTCACTTTCCTATATAATGTTTAGACTTAACCTTCTCTGGTCTTCCTATATGCTTTCTCAATCCCCTCTAGCATCTGGTGTAGCCCAGGCTATTCCCTAATTCTGTTTATATTCCCAAGTCCTTCCCAATCTGCCTTTTATGGCAGAGCTTTAATCATGCATCCTAAAGACATCAGGGACTACAGATCTTGGCTTTGTATAGACTACTTAAAATTCCTGTCTACAAATTAGGGTTACAATGCAAAGTCAAATAAGAAAACATGGCTTCGTATGAGGACAAGGAAGAGTTAGATAATAACACCTGACAACTAAACAGAACTAGTGCCTTCTGGCGTATCTGTGTTCATCAGTCACTACTGGCACTGCAGGTAGAACTATTTGTAATTGCACAGAACATCTGCTCTACAAACGGCCATGGCCACTGCAGGCTCAAAACTCACAGATAGTTTTGGAGTCTTTTTGTTTTAACATGAATTTGGATGGAACACTGTAGGTAAATACATCATATTTATGTAACACCAGCAACATGTCATTTAGAAGTTACATTATCCCCATTATTGTTAGAAAATAATCAGATGACATCCATAAAAGCTAGACATATGCATGAAAATCAAGTATGAAGCTCCTAGAAGGAAAAAAAACTAAATTAACACCACCATTGAAAAAAAGAGCTGAAATTGAGAGGTTCCACAAGTTGTACGACTTTAAATACGTCAACCTAGAGACATTATTTTTAAAGTTATTTTTTGTCTCGAGCAGTGATGTTCAGCTGAGGAAAGCTGAAGAGATTGATTCATGTTTGCTGTGGATTTTGTTTAAAGAAAACCAAAGACTTCAGAGACAGATGAGAGCTACAAATGTTTTTTGAATGTACGTGGGTGGGTTTATAAAGTTTTCTCTCTGTTCAAAGTATCCCGAGTGTAACTGTTTAGGGAATCCAACTGAGACAGAGCAGTTGGTCTGTTACACTAACTTGTGAATTAGTTTCTTTACTGCATGAATGCGAATAATTTTACATAGGTTTATTGTTTAGTATTAGCCTTAGCATCCCTGCTATACTCCCAACATCATTAGTTCCTAAAAGCTTTATAAGAGACTGCCCAGCAAAGGTTTAAAGGAGGCAAAGCTAGTTTAATCAATCTCATGAATTCTTACCTGAATTGTTTGTCTTAGGTCTGTTGAAGTAAGGCTGTGTTGCCCAGTGTCCTGAAGTGTCCTAAGTCAGAGGTCCAGAGTACTAGCCCACAAGGGAGCTCTTCAATAGATGCCCAGTAAGCTTACAAAGAAAAGATTTTTCTGACCATTCAGTAAAAATGAGTGCTTTAAAGTGCTTGGAGAGAAGCCTTGAATTACACATGAAGATGAGGAAGAAATTAGATTAAAAGAATTGGGAGCAGATGACAGAAAAGTAGAATTTATTAGAAAAAGCAGAGGAATTTGTTCAAGGAGCTCTGCATCCACTCCCCATGGTGAGAGGGTCATGAGGTGCAACTCAGTAAAACCTGCTGGGAACACCAAAACTGTTGTTGGACTTCAGAAAAAGAAATTCACAGAACTTTGAAGGTGAGAGGCGAGAGGCATTTATTTACAGAGACACATCTTGCCACCCTAACAAATGGGTTTTCAGCACAACTCTGAGAATCCACTAGACTAATATAAAATGTTTGCTTGGTCACTACTGAGTGAGGGGAAGCTATAGATACATCTTCTTCAAACAAGAAGAGGACAGTCTTTAATTTGCTAGAAAGAAAAATCACACTTTTAGGGTTGATACCAAACATATTAAACTTACAGACCAACTTCAACATAAAGACTCAGAGGACCTCAGAAATCCAGTACAAAAGAGTAAGAGAACCATTTATAATGTCAGCCTGTATTTCACATTCAATTTGAATATAATAAAAACTATATTAGCTGAAGACTTATTGTTTACTAACCCTTGTGAATACAGACAAATGAAAGTAATTTCCATTGACAGGCTAACTGGCTATTGTAATTTTGCTTCTGTTTTCACTCATCAGCTCTTCATTCAACAGAAAAACTCTGCAGGTTTTATTTGTTTTGGAATAGCAAAGCTGTTGCTATTAATGGTGATTGGCATATCTTAAGTGTGGCAGCGTGGGACATTTCAAATACTGTCATGTTCACTTAAGAAGTCTTTCAGATGCTGATTTAAAACAGGACAAGGTACTAATTTCTGTTATCAAAACATGCAGCCAAAGATACTTTTATATCCTGCACTGAGGGAAACAAAGCAGACTGTATCAAGGATTGTTAGTGCTTTGATAGTGATGGATTCTTTGTTTGGGGCAAGTGAGTTGTAGCGTCATCTTCTCTTTCTTTCCTCTAGCTAAAGGTCAAATTTGCAAGCACACAGGCTGGCTCCAGACCTGCCACAGCTCTAAAGACAAATAGGTCTTTGGTGTAAAAATACAAGTCACTCTTTAAGGAAACTCATAAACTTTTTTGATTGAAACAGGAAGGACTACTTCTGCTCATTTCTTCTGAAATAGTTAAAAACTGCAGATTTTAGCAGATAGCTTCAGCCTGCTCTGTCACTTCACATTTTCTTTTAGCTTTGACTCTGATGTTCTGATCAAATTCTATTAACAAGTTTTAACCTTTCACAAATTTTAAAACATCAGAGAAAAATACTGTCATTGTAGACTAGAGTCAGCACAGACCAGTCCAATAGTTTTTAAGGCAGCTCTATGATTACTGTCCTGCTTGGTAGCAAAATTTTACTATTTTTAATTGTTTCCATAAAGGTAGGCTGCAACTTAATGTCACTGCTTCTGATATTTAAACTGATGTCGTGAACTTGAGATTTCAGGGTTGTTTTTTGCTCCCATGTTGGAGTCACCACACCAAATACCATTTTGAGACTCTTGTAATATAGAGGTTTATTTTCTCGAATTGCCCTTTTAATTTTATGTTTGTTCATTACAGAGATCAGTGTATATGTATTTCTATATGTTATTTTTGTAATTTTAACATACAGCTCATTTTTGATTAAAAGACATTTTTGAGGACAGAGCTGCAGTGTAACTGGGAAGTTACATTGGTATAAAAGTATATAAACTGCGAAGTGGTTTTTGTTTTTTTTTTATTCTGTACCCAAGCTTTTCATTTAAACAAAAAATGATGGCCTGTTCATTGAAATGCTTTGTCTTATTACCCAATACACCCACTGAATCTGCAATACACGGTGACTACTCAGAAGGCAGACTTTGTGGTGATCTTGGCTGTGCAGTGCTGTAAATTGTTAAGAACAAATGCTTCCTACTCTGAACTACTCATCCAGGCATGAGATTCTGTAACACACATCTATTATCTCTGAGTTGTTTATTTGTGTCTAAAGATGAAGCAAATTAGTAGATTCAGACTGTGATGGGTTTCAGTTATGTTCAAATTTATTGTCGTGATTTCTGACTTTATTCTTTTTCACTTGCTCATCTTAAAACTAAGCAGCAAAAGCTCTGCATTTTGCTTATTTTCAAAATTTGCTTTTGCCAGTTGGACAGAAAATGTTGTTAATGTTTCCTTTTCTGCAGGTCTCTCTCTCTCTCCCTCCATATTTCTCCTTGGCTTCTCAATCCACTCCTCACAGGTTTTGCTCTGCCTCCCTCACACTGCAGGTGGTGGTCACCATTGCTGTATCTTTCTTCTTGGGTATCACTCATGACCCCAGTGGTCCTGCCACTCCTGCTCTTCCCCACTGACTTGGCTCCTTACAGGCGTCTATTACTATATATTCAGCAAAGCTCAACAAAGAGAAGTGCGTAGTCCTGCCCCTGGGACAGAACAACCCCATGCACAGGTGCATCCTGGGGGTCACCCAGCTGACTGAGCGGAGCACTGGCACAGGGTGCCCAGGGAGGTTGTGGAGTCTCTCTCCTTGAAGACATTCAGAAGCCATCTGGACAGGGTCCTATGCAACTGGCTCTAGGTAGCCCTGCTTGGGCATGGGGTGTTTGGACAAGATGACCTTCTGAGGTCCCTTCCTACCTCAACCAGTCACTATATAGTCTTTGTTCAGCTTTTGTGCTATTCCATACCACGACATTTTCCTTTCCTCTTCAGCCCTGGTAATGTGTAATTCCTTCAAATATAACCCTCATTTGAACATGCCAATGTTGCAAAACTGTTGTATGAACAAGGACCAAAGAACAGTCCCAGAGAGAAAATTTGGTTTATTAAAAATTTTACTAAAAACTTCATTAAGATTAACTGAATCAACTCGCTACAATGGCACAATATCTATTTATACATGCTGAGAACCTAGTTTAATCTCCTGAAGGTTTTCTATTGGCTTCCTACTACTTTATGGGTTCTTGTTATGAAATACTCTAGAGACCAATCTGTTCTCACCATTACTGGAGAAAACCAATGATTTAAGAAACAGAATTTAAGGATTTAGAGTTATTCCCAACCCTTTTTATATAACAGAGCAGTTTTTGAGACAGGTGAAATGCTGGATGATTTTTACCAAGAACTTGCAGAGGAATGTTCTAGAGGATTTTATTTTGAGAGTAACCTCTCAAATTTTGCTTCAGAATACA